GCTTTGTGGTATTCTTTGAGGGAGGCCTATGTTCAGGAGTGGACTTGTTGTAATGATCATATTTAAAAATATTAACTCATTAATTTTGCGTTTTACTGACGTTGACTCTACGTTGTAAAGCCGCAGGATCGAATCCACAACTTTTTCTATCAAAAAATCCTCAGTAGCAGCCCCAGGTCACAGGAACTTGGTGATGTGTTTACCCCGTGCGTCGGAAAGCACGTAATGTGCACTAACAAACTAACACACTTGAGCACTATAATCCCGTCCTGTGCAGACGGTTAGTCTCCGATGAGACTGGCCGCTGCGACTGAAATCTAGTCTGGGGGACATTTTTATTATTATAACCCAATTGGTTTCTTAGTTAAAACATCGCGAGCGATCATCCAAAATTAGCTCCGTGATCGACTACTAGTGTCTAGCTATTAACCCCCAATGTAATGATATAGTAAATTAGTCTAAGCAGATAATATGTCCAATCGCGAATAACCGTTACCGTTGCAGCCTATTTAGGTCCACTGCTGAACACAGGCTTCCTCCACAGATTGCCTCATTGGGGGGGATATTTGCCATAGTTCCCACGCTTGGCCAGCGGGTCGGCAGCCCCGGTTATTTAATTTTAGTCGTTATTGGGAAGACTCTGCTGCCCTTCTGATTTGTTTTCCGCTGTCGCCTATTACGACACCTATCGTCATTATGTAAATAGGCCAGTTCGACGCATATCTCACTCAGCTGACATTTACAATCCCGCTAATGTCACTCGCGTAAATCTCTCTTAAATATACCCTACTTAGGGCAGCCCAAACAGCAGTATTTTACTCTTAATGTCTCGTTAAATGGCTGCGTCCGACTCACGACTCGTATCGCGTTTATAGACGTAAATATTCTTCGCTAATAAAGCAATCGGGCCGAAACACATAAAACTATTTTCAACGGAACGTCCGATGTCAGTCCATCCGTATACGTGAATCTATTACAATATAGCATGGCGATCATGTCTTATGAATGTTTTTCGACATTAACCCTAGGACTATTATAAATATATAGGAAAACAGGTATTGTTATTAAATCCAAAACTTTCCGTGGTAGAACCACGCTGCAAGTAGGTATATTATTGTCGGAGCACGGATGGGACGGTCGGGGAAGGACCACGCTCTCACAAAATATCAGCGTAAAATAGTAGCTTAATGCTGCTGTCTTTTGTATGGTGAGTGTAGAGAACCGGAGACCCTTTTCAATGGAAACGAGGCATTCCATCTTAGTCGTCATTGGTGACGACACATCTGTATATTGATTTGTAATCGAGGATAGATGTAGATGTCTATGGGCCGCTGTAACCACTTACCATCAGGTGGACTGTGTGCTCGTTTGTCAGCCTATCCTTCCTTATAGAAAAAAAAGACATCCGGAGACCCTTTTTACTGTCAGTCCTTACTAGTCCCTTTTATCTTATTCCTCAGGGACGACAATGCATCTGTATTTTGATTCTTAATCGAGGATAGATGTAGATGTCCGTGGGTCACAGTATGCATTTACAGTTTAACTGATAAGATTGTGAGCACGTTTGTCACAATTATTCCAAAAATGTGCACCATAATGACAGATGCACGAGACTATGTCTATAGTATTACAAGTGTAAGAGTATCAGCTCGTCGATCCTGCTAAGACATGCAGGAAGTCGACGAATGCAGGTGGCTCAGGACCGTGCTTTGTTGCATAGCTTGGGGGAGGCCTATGTTCAACAATGGACTTGTGAAGGGCTGTAATGATGATGATGTTAATCACCAAGCTGACAGTCTAGTCTGATGAGTGTGAACATTCCAAGTAATTCTTAACTGTGGACACGTTCTTAGATGTCATATAAATGCTGTATAGCTGGCAAAATAAAAGAAATAAATCTCAAATAAGGCTCTATAAAAGAAGTATAAATACTAAGTATAGATACTTCGTTTATAGAGCTGAGGGTTATTTGCATGCAATTAAGTCATGAATAAACATTTTTAACCCCCGACGAAAACAGAAGGGTGTTATAAGTTTGTACTGTACAAATACACAACACAGATCTGATCTGAATGGATGAATCGATTTTGTATAAGTTTTTTTGTTTGAAAGGTGTCTTAAGCGAACGGTCTTAGCTGTTTCAAGAAAATCTGTTCATCCGTTTGAGAATCATCAGCTCTTTATGTTTTTAAGATTTTTTAAATTATTATTGTAAGTTATTGAAATTTCTGCCTGTCTGTCTGTGTGTGTGTGTGTGTGTCCGGCCTGATGTTCGGAATGACTGAACCGATTGTAATGAAACTTCACGAACAGATTTCAATTTCAAGAGTGATCTTGGTCATATTTTATCCGAAAATATTGGAGCATTTTTTTGAAAAAGCAAAAAATTGATCTAAAGTCCAAATAACGCCACATGAATAGATCCTAACCAGGCAAACCAAGGGCTTGTCTCTAGACTAGTAATCGTCTGTGAAACGGAGAGTTTTAGAGTGGTTCTAAGTGATGAAATTAGCGAAAAAACTGTCCTCCGTAACACTTTAGTCCATTGTGTACGCATACATACCACTTCGTGTGGACGTCCATTCGTGCGCATAGACTTCGCGTGCAAGATCCATTTGAAATTTAATGCGTCATCAATATTTAACAGCGTCGATGGAATCATTGTGTGTTCAGCTGCCAGTATCAAATTGATTTACAACCAAAGACCAGACGCAGTCAACGTATCTTCCACGTGGGACACAATAGCAAGTTTCTATTTTCTGTATACTCAACTGGGTATGGCGACGGTGTAATGGAACGCTTAATATAGACTATGTTTAAAACATTGAAGCGCTAAACGAGCTTACAGCCGACCTGATGGTAACCAAACGGCTTGCTTCAGTGAATAAATTTTCTTTAAGCTTAGTCAACGCCATTATCTTCGGTTGCATCTATTTTTTATAGAATAAGACACAGCACACAGCCCATCTGATGGTGAGTGGATACTGTGGTCCATAGATATCTACATTTATCCTCGCTTAAAAATCAAAATGCAGATGCATTGCCACCGCTGAGTACTAAGATGGAGTGCCTTGTAGTGTGAGCTCACGATATCCACTAATGTTATATTTATTATAAATTGAACAGTATTAAACAGGACTTGGAATATAACGGTTATATCATTTTATAACAACATTACATGGCGACCCTGCCAGTCGGTGCGCGCGCAACTCCGCTTGCCGTAGTTTGAAGTATTTTTTACTTTTGCCATTGGTTCTGAAAAAACCTCTGTCTTGGACAGAAGCAGCAAGAAACCCAGCGGGACTTTAAAAAGTAAATTTTACAATCAGAAAGGTTGTACAAACTATTTACAAATTTTTATTTTAAAAACAGCTTGAAGCGACCACCACATTCTCAGGGGTTATTATCAACCATGTAGTTGTAGTAGTAACAGATGGAGTTGTTAGTTAAAAAAAATCAATAATAATTTGCTATTTTCACAATTTAATCATCTCAAGTTTCGGAAAAGAATTAATAATACATTGAAACAACCTATAGTCCCTCATGTCTAGAAAAAGGAGAGTTTTTATCATTGATAAGATCGGGATTTGTGCTCGTCGGTCGTTCGACAGATAGAATGTCGCAGCGGGATTACCGCCGGGACAGAGCCCCGGGTTAGCTGCGACTGGTACAATGATCCTTAGCCGGTTATCTGCCTCCTCCCGGCTTCCATATTTTGAATTTCATTTGAAATTCAACATCTTACGTATTTCAAGAAATACATACTCGTACGTCAGGAAAATGCATCCATAATCTTAGAACATCTTAATAATCTTTATCTATTATTTATTTAGTCAATACTTACAATCGACTAACGTGTTATAAAAAATTACAACTTCCCCTGATCGAGAAATAAAATTCATAATTTTTTGAAAGAAGTATGTACCTAATGATGACATACAATCACGTTTGCCGTGGCCCGTACACTCGATTAAGAATTAAAATGCAGTTGAGTTGCCATCCCTCAGGACTAAAATGGAACCTCTTATCACCAGTGAAAAAATTCTCAGTATCTAGTTCGTGATGAACACACAAATCGTAACAGCATTACTCTGCACTCCCGCTGGTATTCTGTGCGAGCGTGGTTATCATGTCATTATCCCGTGTCTCCAAATATGTATCCTAATCTACCTCCGATCTCATCGCAGAAACGAATACCAGCTTGGAATAGCAACTCAATGCTGCTCTGTGTTTTGTATGGAGAGTGTAGAGAACCGGAGACCCCATTTACTAGAAACGAAGCATTCCATCTTAGTCCTCAGGGATGACAACTGACAACAAATCTGCATTTTGATTCTTAATTGAGGATAAATGTAGATATCAGGTGGACTGAATGCTCGTTTGTCACCCTTATTCTGTGATGAAAAAAGCACGTGTTACTTCGGGCACAGGTAAGTGAGGACGAGTAATTTCTCGTTTGTGCGTGCACTTTTAGCACTGTAATATCTGCTGCGCAGTTGATACCTTTTCATTATGCGGGTGTTGACACCTTTTTTAATATCGACTAAAAGGATATCATTTTCATTTCACCAGCTTTGTCGCCAGTATAAAGTGATAAAGTGTGTGCATTACTGTGTTCTGGCCTGAACGTTATAGAGCTAATACAATACAGGTTGTTAAGTAATTTAATCCTCAGAGACATAGTAAAACCAGAACAGAGGTGACAACGCATTCTATTTATAAACTTCTTACTTTGGACATGTTGCAGATGTAAATGGGCTTCAGTAGCCATTTATTACACTTAGTGAAATAAAATTTAGCACTTCATTTTATAAACAAAATATAGATGTATTCGAAGAAGTCAACGGCACAAGATATGATTAATTTCTTATTACTCGACACTGGCAAAAGTAGGTACAACGGTAAGAGTCCAATGAAAAAAACTCATTGATATTTTAAAAAACATATTATTCGGTAAAATTAATGAAAAACAAAAGTCAAAAAAAAGTTGGTCAACTCACCAATGAACGGCTTCCCGTCGAGCCGCTTCATCCAATAGAAGCGCTGCGAGTGTGGCTTGTTCTCGCGGTCGTACTGCTCCCACTGTTGGCGCAGGAAGGTGTAGCAGACGCAGCAGCAGCGCACCGTGCCCTCCTCCTCGCTGTCGTCTGCGCGGTACCCGGCGGGCGGCGGGTGCGCGCCCAGGAACGGGAAGTACGGCTCCGAGCTCTGCGCAAAACCAACATCAGAACTTAACTAACAGCCTTTATACGTTTTATTGTAAATATATAAGAGGGGGTAAACAAGCATCCTACTCTCTACACTCATCTGAACGTGACTACCGCCGCGCATGAACAACCGCAACATCAAGGAAGGCTCTCTACTTGAAAGTCTCTAAGTCATATCGGTCCGGAAAAAACTGTTGCTGGTAGTCGAAATTTAGCGGCTGGAGTTTATCCAAACAATTCCTTTGCATCTCTTAACAGTGCGAGTGAGTCAAGCCGATCAAAAGAACTCGGTCGTCAACGATTCAACGGCTGGATGAGATCAAGTACAATGCATTTGGCAATGGGTGCCCCGGGGCTCAGGGATTAGAACATAGTAAATGTGAGGCCGAACTTGCGCCTTGTAAAGTTGCAATACGTACTACTACGGGCCGGGCTTTTGAGGAGCTCGTTGTACAAGTGGTCGTAAGCACGACTGCGACATTTTCCCGGGTTCGAACCCCAAGTCAAGCAAAAATCAGTGATTCTGTTTTTAATATTTTAGATATCCAAGTGTACTCATAGATTGAAAACAAATCTCCACAACTTATTTGTACTGAACTGTTTAGGCGTTAAAGAGAACAGGTAAACTTTTCCTCTAGTGTGAATATTACGTAAACCCGGTGCACCGTGTTGATTGGCAGGCGAGAGGCTGACGGTGGATTGATGGCAAAAACCACCCAAAATACCTAACCCTCACGCTGCTTATGATGTGGTGGAGAGATCTTAAAGAAATGCATGCAATGAGAAGGTTGATTATGCAGGTGAGTATTTGTAGGTTTAAGATACTGAACTCGAATTGACATATCTAACTTTTGTACACAAGTAAAGGTAATTTTATCATAGAATAAGGGTGACACACGAACACATAGTCCATCTGACGGTTAGTGGATGCCGTAGCCTAGATATCTACATATATCTTATTAGATTACAAATCAAAACACAGATGTCTCGTTACAAGTAACAAAGATATCCGGATCACTCACTATACGCAACAAAGCAGCGTTGGGCTATTTATTATTTCAAGTTGGTATTCTCCTGCATTCTGTGAGAGCGTGGTTCATCTCCGGTCAGCCGACCGTGATTCAGACAAAATAATAGGCAACTTGGTGGCTCGATGACGCACTCGGCAATCATTACATGCTATCAATGCAACGGTACCATTTACCTAAATGTTGTCATCAAATCAACTCCAAGATTCGTTTTCTTTTTTATTCCCGTACAAGTAAAAGCGAAAAGCTAGAGAGCTAAAAGTTGAACTAACCACATAAAATCGTATCGAATGAAAACTTCAAACTCCAAACTTACAGTTGCGACAACTTAGCTCTGATAAATTTTTCCACTAGGATACTCGCACTCTCTTGCTTATTGGGAACATACTTTAAAAACTCGATCACACGTAGGAAATATTAAATAATTTTTACTTATTTTGGAACCGCACGATTATTTGTATGTCAATTTCATTCTACTCTAAAAAATTGCAAATAGTCATCACGTCAGACAGTCAGACGTATCATTGGTAAGAGTTTCAAAAAAAGTTCCTGTATTAAGGTGTTTTCTGTACAATATCTAACAAACACCGGGCATTGCGATGTTACTGAAATGTCGGTGCTGGAATCGAATGCCAAGCTAAAAATTTGCATTTGCTTTTTTAGGTTAACTAATACATATATCAGTGGCGATGTGGTAAGAGATATCGAGTTGACGTATGCAGATCGGCCCAGGATCATGCATTGTGGCCTTCCTTGAGGGACGCCAGTGTTTAGCAGACGACTCGTGATGAGCTGTAATGATGATGATGATGGCAGACTTAATGCCATGTAGCATTCTCTGCCAGTCAGCGCTGGGTGCTAAAGACAATTGTTGGCAGGTGCGAAACAAAATACAAAAATAAAGTGTACATATATTAAAATATATATACATAGTACATACATACATAACACTATATATATACTATACATAATGTGTATACATGTTTATTAACTTAATAAATAATACAATTGAAGAAATAAAGAAATAAATATTTGAATAAAAAAATATCAGTTAGTAATTGCCCTCAAGTAATGTTGTCGTAGAAGTACTTTCAAGGAGTTTTTTGTGACATTCTTAATATCATTGGAAAGTGTATTCCAAAGATTAATAGCCTGTACCCTAATAGATGAGCCGAAAAATTAGGCGCGTGCTGAGGAAAACTCATCCTGAGACGGTTTCACTGTCGTGACGTTCGACCGTCGATAGAATGAACAAAATGAAAATTATCCTTAACAAGGCGATCTTGGATCGTTTAAAATTGAATAATGTACAAGTAAAAATCTTGAGCATCGCCTTTGACGTATACGTAGCCTTTCAAGCTTTGAACGATAGGAAGATATTTGGTCATATTCACATAAACCGAAAATAAACCTTATGAAATTATTAAAAAACACGCTCCAACATGTTTAGAGGATTTTGTGACGGATCTGAGAAACAAACATCTGCATTATCGATAATAGGTAGAATGACTAACCGGCGTAAGCTTAGTATTGAAAGGTAGCAAATTTTTAACACGATAAAGGGAACGCAAGGTGGCAACTACTTTACGACTTTACTACTTTACTTTACTTACTCCAGAGATCTGCAATTTCCAGGTTATTGTTTTATCCATGTATAAGCCAAGTTTTATTATGTAATCATAATATGGTATCAGTTTCATTATGAAATACAGAAGAGAGATTTCCATAATTAACCTTAGCCAATAATTGCGAACTTCCGACGATTATCATTTGAATTTGGTTGGATTAACTGAAAGGCCATAGTTGCACGGCCATTCTCTGATGGCTTCCAGGTCATTATTTAGTTTTTTTTTAATAACAATGTTAAGATTATGTACGCCGGAGATGTAGAGCTGAAGGTCATCCGCATACAGATAGTACGAACAATCCACAACTGAGGAGATCCTCTGAAGCGCCTTGCGGCACACCAGATTAAATATCAGCCCATGCATAAAAACGCAGATCTGAACGAACTGATTACTGGCGGCCGCAAATATAAGAAGAGAACCAATCCAATGCTGGGGTTGAAAAGGATAGACATCAACATCTTATGTTTAAGGATAGATAGTATGTTTAAGGATGGATACAATGATCACCTGTGTTGAAAGCGTTTGAAAAGTCAATAAGCGCCACTACTGTTAATTTCGGTTCATGCAAGCCCTTTCTTATATCGTCTGTGACTTTGATAAGCCAAGTTATAGTGCTGTGACCAGAGCGGAAACCCCATAGATATTTGCTTAAAAACACGGGCTACCAAAACTTTAGAAAATGGTTGGGAAGTTGAGGTATCTTAGGAAGGGGTCTTACAATAGCCTATTTCCATGCAGAAGGGTCCAGAGAATAATTTATAATGTCTGTAATAGCTGGAAGTATCATAGACAACATTCGCTTGCTAATTTCATCATAACCCACAGTGAGAAACAGGGGAAATAAAAGTCAGGGAACCGGAGAGACTGCCTTGAATCTATAGAAGCAATAGTTTAAAAGCGGACTTGAGGGTCTAATGAAGTAATAGAAACAAAGTGACGATAAACGTCATCCAAATTGAGGAAGGGGCCATGTTCCGTGGAATTTTATTAATTAATTCCGAGACATCTTAGGAACTTCCACACATCAGTGGACGAAGAGTTTTTTTTTTCATGAATGTAGCGGCGTTTAACATTTCGTACCACCTGATTGCATCCGTTTCTTAGCAATTTGAAGTTAGACTAATTTCGTTCAGGGTGATCCTTTTTAAATTTCTGGAAAGACAGACGTCGCCGTGCCATTGCCACCTGTACACCGTTAGTCATCCAGGGAGCAGGAGGACGCTCAACTTTTACATTGTGCACGAATATTATACAGATTCAGATTCGTGAAATACAAGCAAATGGTTATTATACAGATTCAGGATTTCACTATTAGGAAAGGATGCTTTATCATCGATTTTAGATGCTGTTACCAAAGGGCCAAAATCAATCCGGTCTTTTTCGGTACTCCTACTCCCTACGCGTAGTTCCGAAATCATAAAAGTCAGCTTTAGTGCACCCGATCCCTAAAAAATACGACCGTTCAAGCCGTCTATCTACAGGCCTATCGCTATCACCTCCTTGTTCTCCAAAATAATGGAATCCATTATAAACTGCCAACTCATGAGGTACCTTAAGGATCACCAGCTGATTATTGACGTTTTTCGTCAGGGTAACTCAGCTGGTGATCTTCTGGGCAGTAGAGTCTAAGGGGAGGTGTTAGTTACGAAAACACAATGTATCTCCACAAGTAATACATATTAGTGTACTTAGTGCGATTGCCAAGTCAATCTGTATATTTAAAACATAAAAGATTTTTAACATTGATATAGTCACTATAAAATGTTTTTAGGTTAACTAATTACGTAATAACTTAAAACAGAAGGACCCTTAAGTAGGAACTGCATAAATTAACTGACTTGGTATTACATGTATTTCAAAACTTTTTACGGTAGAAGAACTGAGTTGCAATACTTGTTTTTTTTTTACAAGTTATGTTTTTGATGGCATCACATTTCTTTTTGTAGATAAGATAGTCCCACTTTTTTACCTTTCCGGTACCTTCTACTTCTTGAATACCAACAACGTACATATCTACACCTGTTATACATATGCAAGTACACTGATTCATTTGCTGTAAATGTAACTTTGTAATTCTATATATTGATATAGGATTATAAAGTTATTTATGCAGTTGGTGTATCTAGAAAACTGGACCGAAATTAACAAATATTTTAGTTTTCCCTTAATTTATACATTAAACGCTAATTGTATTCTAAGTTTGAAGTTTCTATGTCTGCTAGAAGTGCCTTAGAGTTTTGATGATCGGTCAGTCAGTGAGTGACAAAATTAAGAAACTTTGACTAGTTATAATTCGTAAACTAGTTCTAATTGAATGAAATTTGAAATATACCATGTTTATACAATGTCTATTCGGTTACTGAAAATTCAGGCTTCTAGTTTTATTGACTACGAAGTTATAGGGGGTCGAAAATGGCCTGAATTGCTTCGACCCACCAAACAAATTTAAAAATATTAAAAAAAAAAAAAAAATTTATAAAAAAAAAAAAAAAAAAAAAATATTTATTTTTTCTTCTAATCTAAATTATTTCAAAAAAAAAATTTTTTTTTTTTCTTTCACTTCCTCCTATTATATTATTTTTTCCCTTTAGAAAAGATAAAAATTTCTCAAAAATATATCGCGTGAGTAGGTAGCATCTATCATTGTTAACAGTTCCATATCATAAGCAAACCAACTGTCGACAACGTTCCTTTCCTTAGTTCCACAGTTCACACGGCCCGCCCGCTGTTGTAGCACCTCATTGTCTTTCCAACAACAAAAACGTAAGGCAACTGTTAAGAATATAACAGTGTGAAGTGAAAATCAACCGGCAGAGCGCGACGCCGGGTTGTGTGATGTTGTGTCAGAACTATCGAAGCTGTCCGATTCTTAACAGCTTATATAACAAAACTAGCTGATACCCGCTCACCTCGCTAAGCGCACGATAATATTTTATTGCAGAACCTAGACGAAAAATATGAAAAAAAAAATTTTGATGGTACTATCGTAAAATCCGTTCTTAGTGAACGTCTACATTGAAAAATTAGCAACTATACTAATTTCAAGTCAATCAGGTATATAGTTTTAGAGATCTTGTGATGACACAGTCGGTCAGTGCTATTTCACATTTTTACTGCAAACGAGGCATTCCATCTTAGTTCTCAGGGGCGGCATCTGCATTTTGATTCTTAATCAAGGATAAATGTAGATGTCTATGGGCAACAGCACCCACTTAACCATCATGTGGACTGTGATCGAAAACCTATTTCCAGTAAAACGGGATCTTCGGTTCTCACCATACGAAATACAGCAGCATTGGGCAGCTATTTTACGCTGTGAGAGAGAGACCCATTCGTGCTGCAACCATAAAACAGCTGCAGCGTGGCTCTACCACGTAACGTCATTTAAATGTATTTTATATCTTAATAGATTACGAGAACGCGTCGGAGAGGTATCGACAGTTCACAGTTACTAATGGGCCAGGCTCGACCTGTACAGTGCCTTGTTTCCACACAAAACAAAGCAACATTAAGCTGCTATTTCACGCTGGTATTCTATGTGAGCGCGATCCCTCCCCAGTCGAACCGTCCCGATTATACAGCTGGAAAATGGCTCTACACACATATTTATCTTCTCACGGATGGCGAGAACAAGTCCAGAGAGTAGTAGTGGTAGAGTAAGGCAATAAGTTACCTGTGGTCCAGGCTTGACCCGCACAGTGTAGCAGTCGCCTAGGCCGGCACCGCCGCACACGAAGCAGACTCGCGGCTCGGCCTCGGCCGCATCGCGAGCTGGCGACGCCGGCTTACTAGCGCCCAGCGAGCTCTTTATGTAGGCCTTCGCCTTCTCCATTGCCCCACACTGCAACCAAAAGGTTATCTTTAAGTCTTACGTACATATGTAAAATAGAAACGCGATATTGTAGTGAATAATGATAAGGCATTCCTTTAAAAAAAGACCCTTTTTTATTATAATCTTAGTCCTCAGGGGTGACAACGCCATCTGTATTTTGATCATTAATTGAGGATACTGATGTCTATGGAGCACAGCATCCACTTACTATAAGGTCATTATGTTCACACGCGGTAGAAGTGGAACCTTCAGAAAACTAAACTGAGATAATGAGACGAATGCAGAGTATCAGGAGTAGGATAATTGTAGGGTTTATTTATTATAACACTGCTACTAAGTCTAAAAATGATTTCACATTTTATTCCAGATCCGCGAGGTGGCGGTGTAGGAATATCAACTACTCCAGATGCAGCCCCTTGGGTGTTACCAGAGGCGAAACAGGGAAACTGGAAACTTTAAACTACGAACGTGAACACACATCACGTTTTCAATAACACTCCTTTTTAGCAAACCATTTAAAATCTTTAACGTCCTTGAACTAGTTAATATACCATACGTAGGAAGACCCTAAAAACAAAACGGAGTTCTACAATTCAACGAGACATGAATAGATCAGCGTATAAATGTATATTATATTAGACATCATTAGGCTCCAGCGTTACCTGAAATGCTTACAAAAAAGAACATTTCTAGCAGACTTTATTTCAAAGAAAGTTTATTAATCCCACGGAAGGATACATAAAATAATTAATTATACTTTTAAAACATTTCAGTGCTATCACAGGACATGGCTCTTTTAACAAACATTTGTTCACCATAGGTGTTACTGACAGCCCCCTGTGCAGGGCATGCATGGGAGAGGAAGAAACGGCGGCTCACGTGTTGCTGATATGTCCAGAAGTCGCTTCATACAGGGATCAAGGGACTGCTGAGCTTCTTCGGGGAGATATCACGGCTCGAATAACCATAGTATTCCTGCCCACACGCAAAATACGCGCTTAGACGTGGAGTTGCGGAAAACAGCCCGTCGTAAACTAAACTAAAGTAAACATTTCAAACATCAAATGACCGGAAGCGCCTACTATTTGATGAGCCATTAAAGTTGTGTCATCATTCGAATCGTTCAAATGTAACCACATTCCCCGGGAACATGTGCAGAGACGCCTGCTGCTCTCCCGGCGTGTTTCAAACGATATCTCGCTATAGTTCTCGGAAATCATCCCAGTTATAGTTGAGGAATATACTGAGATGTTTTATGCGTGGTAAAGTCACGCTGCTTTATTATAGCCGAAGCACGAATGGTACGACTTGAGAGCGAAAGTACTGCTTCGACGAACACCAGTGTGAAATAGCAGTAATATACTGCTGTTTGTGGTCGAGCTACAAATGAAACAGCAGTTTTTTACCGGAGCGGAGATCCAATTTACCTAACGATTCGCAATCAACGATAGATATATAAAGGTGATTTATTTGAAGAAATAAGGGTGACAAACGAGCAAACACATCACGATGCTGTGGTCGTAATACGCCTACAACTGTCCTCGTCTAAGAATCAAAAATGAAGATGTGTGTTTACACCTGAAGCCTAAGATGGAATGCCCCGTTATCAGTAAAAAGTGTCTCCTGTTCTTTAAGCTTACCAACGAAACAAAGCAGCATGATATTGCTGTTTTACGATGATATTCTGTAAAATACAGTTTTAGTAAACTTGGTTGAACCTTGTCATTCGCTGTCGAATTAAGTCAACAACATACATGGACATACATTGTGCTCGTGTATCACTGTAGAAATCAATCAAGAAAAAGTTTAATTTTAAGTTAAACAATACTAATCTATGTTTATATTAACTAAACCAAAAGCCATCTTTTCGATAAAAAATATAAAAGGTCCATAAAGTGCAGATCTTTGTTCATCTCCGATATTTAAATTGAATGGATTACGTATTGGAAGTCATTAACATGCCGCCAGTGTCACGCGGTCAAGAGCTGCGGTGATAGTATTACAAGAGGTCAAAGGTGCGCATTCGAGTCAAAATGGATGACGCATGACCGCGCTTTAATTACCGATTAATACAGAAATAGCTTTTGCGCTACAATTATTACGACCACTTTATAACTATTAACGAGTTAACGGTATCTCGAGTAATATACCCATCTTATTTCATCACCACCATGATTTTAAGGTTTAGTCTTGGCTGCAGCAAGTAAACCATTAATGGCGTATTTCTATATTCTAAATACGCTTTCGAACCGTTTTGAAATACATGAAGATTTATTGGTGGACTTAAGCTTTTCTAGTAGGGGTGATTTATGTTAATTCTCCCTCTTGGCTGTCAGATGGGCGTTCACAGAACGAAATATCTGGCAGCACTGACGCTGCTCTGGGATAATTCACATATAATATATACAGATGTTAATTCCACTATCTACCAGAAACCATTATATTGTTGGCTTTCACTGTAATCACCTTTTAGATCACCTACACGACCATCCGTCGATGAAATATTTTACAATACCACAAGTAAGGTAAATACAGTCTTGGCTGTCATCATTCTCCTTTGTGTAGCCTCACGTAAGATAAGATTTGTCCACAGTTCAAAGCCAAGTAGCAGTAGTACTATACCAGTTTTACGCCATCTGTCGAATAACAGAATATTTTCTTGCTATTTTCCAAATTCAAAATGACATATAGATAGGGTTTTCTTACGTTGTGGTCTCATAATAAAGTTGTCATACATAGGTATTTAAAGATAATTTTCATACATAAAGTAAGAGGCCAAGTAGTACGTACCAAGTAGGTACCCTCTTACTGTGGTATGACTTAAATGTCAAATAAAATACAATATGCTGTACATTTGTATGTGTTTGTACGTTTGAACAACATACAATACTATACAACGTATTATCAAAGCCTACAAAACAAGACAGACACATAAATCAATCAAATAATCCATACACAAGTACATTCAGTACCATATATAACGTACGCACAACCCACAAAGTAATGTAACGAACGCAAAAATTTCACAAGCAATTTTCGCTCATACGAAGACTGCAGTACGGCACAAATTCGAGTTTAGAGTGACCCACATCCGGCAACTTATCTATCGGTCAAAGGCCCGGCAATTAGAGCCGGACAAGCGTCACGCTGCGTAGATATATCGATCCGATTGTCCATTCGTCCGTACAATCCGATCGCTCATAACCATACGTGCGTATATGTTAGAGCTTTATTTGCATGATGTGGCTAGGGGAGCCCCGGCGGCAGGGGACAGGTAATGGAATAAAGGGAACATAATTAATATGAATGAACACCTCATAATTTAATGTTATGTATGGGTAGATGATGATGATAGACAGTAGTGTTTTCAAACTTGAGTTAGTGCTGCAAAATGCAACCTAGCGACGTTGTTTCTAGTTATGAAGCGTGGTAAGATACTTAATGGTGAACTTGATTTAGTTGAAACCAGTAGTTGTCAGCCATTAGCAAAATCACAGAGTTGCCAGAAACTTGGTCTTCCATAGGATGCATTTCGAATAGTACGCACAGGAATCAAAGGCATAAACCCCTCACCCCATCCTTTCTGCCATCTGAACACCAGGGGGTCATCATGCCGTTTCACACTTTCAAATAAAACGGTTTGGTTCGTCTTTGTGTACAGCAAAGGAATTAAATAATTTGCCCGCTTCTTGCTTTCTCTCCGATTGAGAATGAATAGGCTTTTGTTACGCTAAGACAGTTACCACCATCTAGGTCATCATCACTCACCACCAGGTGACATTGAAGTCAATCACTAGCTTATAATAATAAGTAATAAAATTAGAAAGCAGTCAAGTCTTGTCATGCACTAACTACAATTTACTAGGGAGGAAAATATATAGGTCTAAAGAAACTATTCACAATAAAGATATATTATCATTTGAGACTCACAATATTACATTCATGAATTACACAAAAAGTTCGTCGTCATCAGTTACAAACTAGATTTCTTCATTTCTCCTAAAGTGATCGATCCGTAATTATATACTAAGCTGAGTTTGGAATGCATTGACTTGTAGATTTTTTATACTAAAGAGCATTCTATATCATAAAGCTGTGCTCCTTCAAAAGTAAGCATTTGTTGTCAAAGTTAGTTCTAGTTATGGGTAAGACTACTAAGCTAGCTCGTCGTATGCTACGTTGACTGATTTGTTTATATTGGGTTATTTGTGTGAATAGTTTTAGTAAGAATTTTTCTGACGATAATACTATGTATGGTTATGGTAAATATATAAAGTTGTTTGATATTCATTATTTTTGTATATATAAATTTTACAAGTTAATGATAAATATGGATAGTTGAACAGTATTTTATGTGTTTATTTTGGGTAATTTTAAGTTCTGACAGTTTTGTTTTTGCAGCACCGCCCCAAATTTCAATAAAATAAAGTAGATGCGGTTGCACTAGGGAATTATAGATGGTGTGCCGCAAATTAGGTGAGATGCGACGAACTATGTTTCGAAGTGACCCGGTAAGTGCTGAGAGCTTGCTTTTTATGTATTCAATGTGAGCATTCTACGTGAGTGAGCTGTCGATTCTGAGACCGAGGTATTTTCACAGGTTTTATTCAGGCACATTCGTTAATTGATAGCGTGTTACATGAGGGAATTATTTTATTTTTTACCTTAAATATATCGTAAACACGCCTGCACGTGTAAGAATTTAAAAATATTTTGGAAATTCCTTCACAATTCTCAAGGAATGTAAAGTACCAATTTTAAGTATCGATTTTTAATTGTATTCAAAAAAGTCATTACCTTTTCAGAATAACTCGTATCTATAAAGGACCACATCTCCTTTGTTAGAATAAAAAATGTACATAATATTGAAATCTCGTAAGTCTCTGCCATAAAGTAAAAACAACCTAAACATAAACGACCAATGCTAAAACCCTCCACGTTAGAGAAGACCACTTAAAACTACAACCCGACGGCGTATATTATAAGAGTACGTTTAAAAG